AGGTAAACGATACTGCAGGCAATCGATTTGTAGGCAAATGGACTTTCTCCTTAAAAATTTAGAAATATGAAAAGAATTTCTTACAACATTTCTCGGAATGTATGGGACAATCAAACAAGCATGTATATTTGTTTACGCCTATGTAGAGTGTATATGTTTAATTTGTTAAATTTTTAGAAAATATTTTAATAAAATATTCTAATAAAGATAATATTTATAAAACGTCGTATTATTGATAGATTAATTAAGAAAGATTTACTTACAGAACACAATAAAAAACCATTAAGTGCAAATAATATGCCAAGATAAAACAGCGTACCAAGTAACATTAATGTAAATATTTCGTCAATGATATTAATAAATCTGAAAATTATTAAAAAGAGAAAGTTATTAAAAAAGTCATATTTACAAATTAATTTTTTAGTATTATTTGTTTATATCATAATATTTAAAAAATCTTTTCATTTTATGTTATCCTTTAGAATAATTTTAATAAATATGTGCTGTTAATGAAAAATGTGCTTTATTTTTTTATTCCTGTTAAAAAATTATTGAAATTATTAATAATAATATGCGTAACCTGATAAGACGTATATGATTCTGTACGCTTTGTGATAAAGTATTTTCGAAATTTTGGAACTTATCCAGATGGATGATACGTATTTTGAGATTTTCTAACTGACCACATACGTGAAAAACTAATAAACTTAAAAAACTGTCTACACCAGTATACATAATAGCTACCGCCGACAAGCCGAGACCCTGCATGATATAAGTTATTTCGTAAAATGGGCTTTTATCTCGATCGTATATATAATATGTTTGCAGCGGCAATAATTTGCCTGGATCTGTTTTATTTGTCAAGTATCTTATTGAAATACCGAAAACAGGAAGAATTACACACAAATTGAAAGATACCAACATCATGAAATATCCGAATATCGTAAATATACGTGCCATTCGCGCTCGTTTTATCATAACATCTCTCTCTTTTATCATTTTCGGTTTCAACCAATCATTTTTAATCATGTTTAAAAGGAGTAGAATATCTGTAACGAAGATAACAGAGTTACATGTATTATAATTAAGCTTAGAATGGGATATTACTTTTTTTTAATTAAAATAGCAAGATTGAAAAAAAAACTATTTTTATTTACTAATATATAATTTATAGAAGTTTACAGAAATGTATATAAAGGAGAACCGAGCTAGTTGTTACAATCTTTTACTAGAATTTTTTTAACTCATACATTTAAATTATTTTATTGAATACTTATGCATTGATTGAAATATTTTTTAACTAGTCTAATTAGAGTTAAATAATCTATGTACATGTAGATAATAAACAATTTTTTCTAATTTATAAATGTTTTTAAATTTTGAAAGTTGAAATTTTTTGATGATAAATAAAGAATAAATTTACAATAAGAATAAGATTACAATAAAAAATTAAACACAAAATATTTTATAGTGAATGTTTATTTAAGGATAAGGAAAATTAAACCTTAAAAAAATATGTTAATTCAGATTTTTTTTTTAATTAATTATTAAAAATATATAGCAATTAATTATAAGAAAGAAAGAGCTTAAATTATTAATTTATCAATTTTACGAGGTAAGTTAGTATTATTATATTGTTATAACCTGCTTCGGTAA